GAGAGGAAGAGAAACTGCTTTTGACTCCCTACATTGCTTGTGAATATAAGAGACAGTTTTATCACAAAATGAGGAACATGTTCTTGATCATTATTTACGTCAGAGAAAATATTCCTGATATATTGGTAACTTCCTGCTCTGGCCACTCATCGAGATTGTTAGACAGCAGAAATGGATAAAACGTTTCATTTGCCGTGAGCCTGGTGCACCCCATAGTAGAGATTGTTGTGGAAGGAGACTAAGGAACCTGTGAGAGGGCTTGACTGGTGATTGTTCCACTGTGATGGGGAAGGAACCCAGTTTAAGTCCTAAATTAGATTTTCCCAAAGCTAACCACAGAAATTGCTTCAGTATGTTTGAATTTTAATAACAATTGTGTGTGGGTTCCTTTCAATTTTTTTTTTTATTTTTTTCCCTGGCAAGAAATCCTCATCTCGAAGAAGAAAATAATTAAGCTTAAAAATGAATATTGACCTAATATTAAGTTTTTTCTATGTGTTGGAACATGCCCACAGATTGGGAAGTAGAAGGGAAAAGAAGACTTGAGAAGGATCAAATGTTCTCTATACTGTGTTGTGGCAGCTCTGGTCTGTGTTCTCAGGGTGTCAGTGTAAGGCTTGAATGCTCTAACTAAAAGAGCTTTTTTATGATAAGTTGGACATGAGTATGAAAAGTTAAATGCTATACTGTGATTGCTGCTTTTCTGTTGAAGTTACCAGCTTTATTTACTGTGTTTAAAAACTCAAATAAATACTATATGTCAGTGCGAAAGGTTTTGTGTAAAAAAAAAAATAATAAAAAAAAATAAAAAAAAATTCCTGTGGTCCTTGAGGTATTCAGGTTTGGATAGTCACAGATTAATTGTACTTAATCTTTAGTTGGAAACTCTGGTGTGGTATCAGGTTGAGTTATTTTTGCATTATTTTTTATTTGCTGAAAAGCAATATATTGAAAACTAAAATATCAAACTCCTAGATTAATTAAGTTTCAGACTTTATATTAGAAGACTTGCTACTTGATATATACTGCTGCAGTGCATCATCTCAAATTATCACAAACTTTTCTGATGTAATGTGACTACAGAACTGTATTTGCCATAATGCAGCAATGACTGATCAGGTACTAGAATGCAAGAGTTTTCATGTCCACAGTTGGCACTGCAATACGTATTTTTCTACAAAGCTTTCCTTATTCCACCTCTACATTTACAGCAAATAGTACACGTTATCTTGTAATTTTTGCTGTAGTTTTTCTCTGGGTTTTTTTGTTTGTATCATTAATTATCTTTCTATATTGTGCTTCAATTTACAGTACTCTGTCTTCACAGTAAGCCTATTTATCTTATTCTGCACTGTTCTTTTCTACTGCCTTTATCAGAATATCCATGACTGGAAACTGTTTTTGCGTAAATGTGAATGCTTTTGTTTTTGAGCAGTGATGGAATGTCTTCTTATCTAACATAAATAAACTGATAACAATGTATCTAAATATTAATATTTTTAATAAACTATTTCTGTATGAAGAGAATAATGAGATAATGGGTAAAATCCTGATCTTTTTGAAATGTGACAGACTCTCAAATTTGAGAATGTATTGGGTGATGTGTAAGCTGAAATAAAACACATGACATTTTCTCATTCCTGACCTCAAATCTGAGACAATTAGGATGAGTGATTAGAAACAGAAAGGAAGAGACAAAAGACAACTTGAATATTGCTCTTCCCGGTGAATGCAATGGCATTGTTCATTTTGAGACAACTGCTTGGAAGTATCTTCTAAGTCTGTGCAAAAAGAAAGACTGAGCAGTAGGTTAGGTTTCTTCTCTTGTTGATTCCTGCTCTTTCTGCACAGGATCCTCTGTAATATGCTGAGGCTGTAGTCCCTTCCAGATTCATTTAATCTATGGGTGATATACTTTGGTGGCATCTCTTTTGATTCACTAAGCTTTTATTGTTAGGGATTTTTAGGCTTTTCCTTCTGAGTGATGTGGGTTTGGGGAAAAATGGATAAAAATTGTATCTTTTGAGTGATGGAAGGAAGGGCTGGCAAGATTTAAAAGGTCCTTTGGTTTATGAATAGTTGCTGTGTGCCCCTAAAAGAGTTAAGAGCTATTTTAGAAGATTTTTGTGCTCGCTTGGCCTTAGCCAACAAGGAAATACATGAAGTTGGATGGTAGTGAATTGATAGGGAGTATGAAAGATGTGTAGGTGTTGAAGAAAGATCAGGTTTATAGATAGAATTTATGGAAGTATTCATTAGAATCTTGCAATCACTAAACTAAAACCTGGTGGGGTTTAAATAAACTGAAGGAATTGCCTTTTATGGTACACTTTCATGATCTTTAAGAACTGAGTGGTACTTGGAACCAAAACTAGGTCCTTCTGTAGATAACAGTGGCAAGACAAATTGGGGATTGCATTATATTACAAAGTTTGTATTGTATATGTTTTCAGTTTTGTATTCCTCTACTTAAGCCAGTAGGATAAATGTATCAAAATTTTAGCGTACAGTAGAGCACAGAAGTTGTAAGTCTGTTTATCTGGATAAATCTTCTGTCTTTAGGACTCTACTTTAGCCCATAGGTGCAATGTAACAACTTAAGTTGAAAGAAGGTGGAGGGCCTTGTGACAGCTCTTCTGTGAGGCAACAGCTTCGTTCTCTGCCATTTTAGCCCCATGCTTTTTTTCCTCTGAAGAATAACTTTCTGTTAAGGACTGTAAAATATAACCGAATGGCTTCATAAAATATAAAGAAACTCAAATATTACTTTTAATATAAAGAAGAATGAACACAGTGTATCATCTTTATTCTGTTAATAGGAAGTGTATTTTCAGTGGTTCATGTATTTCAGTCTTTGTGGAAGATAGCCTGAGAGAAGAATGGAAGAGAATTTTTACTTACAAAAGGAAGTTATATAGTTGTATGCTTGTGTTAAACTACTGTCTGTATAAGGTTGTAATTTTTTTTCTTTTCATCCACTATGCTTATTATTTTTGAAGATTGATCCTGTTCTAATTAAATGAATTGATTTTTTTCTTTGGTTTGTTCTTGAAAAACGGCTAGGTTGTTAGGATTAATTTTATATGCTTTCAAATCTGATGAGTTTCTGTATGTTAGGCTGATACTTTTGACGTGGTTTTTCAAGCTATCCTGGCCTGAACCAAATGGTCAACAAAAAGCAGCTTTTGTTGGAGTGTAAGTACTGTAACTTGTTCTAGGGGAGTTTTCAGGATTGTCCATAGCTAACTGTGTAGCCTAAGAGGTTTTAGCAACCTCTTGGCGAACATGTCATGAAATACAGGCCTTGCTCTGCAGAGTTAATAGCCCCAAAATAATACATTGTTCTCCTGGTTTAAAAAGTTATTTACTTTTCTGAGCTTAATTTTATCCTGATAACTGTACCTTCCTGCTGTGAATGGGTAGTATCCATGCCTGTTTTAGTTAGCAAGAGTTGTGGTATTGACATCTTGCATATCATAGCAGAAGGAGAGACACTAGTGAGCTAGTTAAAACAGTACTGAGTGTAAGGTTATTCTCAAGCATAAAAGCAAAATCCCATTTGCTTTTTGAGTACAGTTTCATTTTCAGCAGGTGGATTAGAAGAGTGACCTTTCTGACACTAGGTACTTAAACAGATTATTTGAATGTTTTTTTCATAAGCCTTTTCACTTGGTCCTGGAGAAATTGATGCTTGCATGGTTACCTATATTTATGTTTCATTGTAATTCGTGGCTGATCTATGTTTTAATCTAAAAGTTATTTATAATACAGAACAATGAGAAGTATCTCTAACTTTAATGCATTAATTTGTAATTTTGTGTGTCAGAAAAGCTTCTGGTCTTTCTTTTGAGTGTTGTAGATTTTTGCATTCTTACCCTCAGGATTTTTTCCTATTTTAGTTCTTATGCACCAAGCATTCCTGTGTTTTTGCTAGAAAAATATCAGAAATGTATGGAATCCTAAGCATTCCAATATAAATATTTGAAAATACATTAATCCTTACTATATATATTTTTCTTGCCTGATACCGTCTAGCTTAATATTAAATTATGCACTTAGCATTTCAGTGTTGCTGGTTTTGACAGTGTTAAGCTAGTTTGGGGATGTTATAGAATAATAATAATAATAAAAAGAAAACTAATAAATTGAAAATTCCTGTCCTTCCCCTGAGTCTTGGAAATGGGGAAGATGACAGAAAAATTAGTACGAACTACTTAATAAAATTTCAATAAACCTGCAAACAGTTGCAAGTGCAACAGAATGAGTGGGTCATTTAGAAATTATCCTCCTGCTTTTAAAAGGAATCAATAGGCAGGATCAACAAAACACATGTACAGTAATGGACCAGTGCTTTGTACATAAATTTGATCTTTGGAAATAAGTCTCCCAATAGCGTGGTGGCAGTGTGAATAGTGATCTTCTATTTTATTTGTTAAATTAAGTGTGTGTAACAACAGCTGTAGGAATTGGGCAACTCATTTAAGAAAGACCAGTCAAACTGCAGTAAATATTTTCTAGTTGCTTTTGAAATCACTCGTGTTATCCAGTGTATTGCTGCATAATTGTGACCTAACTGTCACAGATCTGCTACTCATGTTTTCAAATGTGGAGGTTCTCAGTATGAGCTGCTCTTGTTTGTACATCCACATAACAAAATATTTGAGAATGAAAAAATGAGTGTTCTTAGGTCCATAAAATGTTCCTAGTTACTTGAACAGGAATGAAAACCAGATGATGTTTGTTTTGATGTATAGTTTTCTAGTTATTGTGACAGCTAACGTAGCTACAGGGTGTATTTTAAGGATCAGCTCTGCATAATATCATAATTCAGATTTCATTTCAAGGTGTCTGGTAAATTCCGTATTTCTGGTTCACCTCAGCGAAAAACATTAAAGTGTAAAACTAATTGTTTGTGGATTCACATTTCCTGCTGTGAATGCTGCATTATGTTCTAGATTTCATTGATTTAAAGCAGAGTTTCTAAATTTTTTTTTTTTTAGGTCAAACATACGACCAGACTATGCGGATACAAGCTTTCATGAGTTCAAAATGCATACCTTCAGTCGCGTGACGTCTTGCAAAGTCTGTCAGATGCTTCTGAGGTAAGATTTTTAAGGTTGGGTTTTTTCTCCAGGTGAAGTATCTGAGTCAAAGTAGTATGTGGAAATACATGGCTAGCTGGGTTACCTGTCTAAGACAGACAAGCCATGAAGTCATACTTAGTATTTCTCATTGTATTAGCAAATTTTCATAATCAAATTTCTAAATATTAGCAGGAGGGCTGTTAAAAGTTCAAAACTTAAAGATGCTCATCACTTATCAGAAGGCTGCTTTGTCGTGATTCTCCTATGAGAATTGCTTTATGTAACAGAGTTCTTCTGTAAGAGTAAATTATAACTATTTTGTGCAGTTTTAACTACCATGGCTGTGTGATGGGTCTTTTTCCTGTAGACCATCAGTCACAAGAACAGATGGAATATTTTTTCAGAAAATCAGATGATGATGATGCTCATAAATGTCTGATACAGGGAGATTGCTTTGTGAGACAGAAAATAACTGTGAGGCATTAACAGGCATTTCTGAACGAGAGATATGTAGGCAAATTGAAGATAGCCTATAAACTCCTTAATGCTTAAATATATATTCACACTTATAACTTTCCTGAAATGGATCTTATTCTTCATGGTGTCTAGGCAAATTGCCATTGAGATGAAACAAAGTATAGATCTATAGTAGGATAGATACATAATAGTACAATTTCAAGTGTGCTGTGCCAAAATTCTTTTGGGCTAATTTGAAATGGGGATTGTTACTCTACTAGTAGTCAGAAGAACTGTCTGATTGTGATTTTTAAATGGCTTGTAGTGACAAAAAGCAGATGAGCTGCTTGTCAGTTGTCACTTTTTCTTGAGCCTTTAAGGACTATCATTATGCAGAACAACAAATGACTTCTAATACCTTTTACTATGTCCTGCATTTCCTTTATGTGTGGAATTTATGACCTCTAATGTATCACTACCTAATTTTATTTTACAGGGGAACATTTTATCAAGGCTATTTATGTTCAAAGTGTGGAGCTGGAGCACACAAAGAATGTTTAGGAAGATTAGACACTTGTGGCAGAGCTAATTCAGGTGGTAAGTCATTTTTATTGTTAGAATACAATTTTTAATTAGGACATAAAACTTGCTAGATATAATTAAGGTTTAATTTGCCTCTAATTTGTGTTTATTGTAACATACATACTTGTGAAACTACCATTTATAAGCACAATTAGAATTGCATTTAGAATTCATAGGGATTTTATCGCTACTAAATTGAAATGTTTGAAAGCAGGAGAGAACTGTTATAGGTCAAACCCAATTTCTTCGTCAGTGTCATATACAACAAGGAATTGCTCTTGTTTTAATCGTAGACTGCTCATATGTAGCACCTACTGTACAGCATATCATCTATCATCCTTGTGGTTCTCCCTGTATGTCTATATCAATTTTCATGTTTTCCTCTCAGTTCCTAAAGCTGTTTGTTTGTGTTGCCTCAGCTTCCTCTTTCATCTCTTTGGTTTCCATGGTTTCTGTCCACTCACAATATTCACAAAAGGTGATTGATGGCTCTCTACTTCCCACGTCTAAGGACCACTTTTTTCCTCTTTTAATTGATTGCTGTACTCTGTGAATTTCTTCCTTGGCCATTGTCACTTTATACTTCCCCTATTTGTCTTCTGTTCTTCTGCTCTTTGGGACCTTGAGGACTCTTCTGACTTCAGCAACCATTTAGTCTTACTCAGATGACTCCAAATTTAACCTCTTCCCTTTCTGCTTAGTATTGTATCTGTCATTTTCTTTCTGACATCTTCTGGGTCTTCCACTGCTAAAACCAAATGTTGGCTCTCATCATTTTTCCCCCTTCCCTGTACCTATTACACTGGTGGCAGTAAGTTTGTTACACTCCAGCCAGCTAGTCACATAACTGTAGTGCCATTTTGGACTCTCCTCTCTGTCCTAGTTCTTAACTGTTCTTCCTTCTTTCTAGAGATGATTTGATGCTGAGAGGGTGGGGGGTCGGGGGGCAACTGACACACACACTCCCACCTCCGAATTTCCCTCTCCGTTGATATGTTTGAATTCTTGTTGTTTGAATGTGTTCGAAAGAAAAAGCCATTGGAATGCATGATGATTTCTGGAAAGTGTAGTGGTATATGTTGAGGAAGTTTCCAATTAATTCTCCTTTTCACCTCTCTAAAACCTGTACATTCCTTTCCAGAATGATTTCATAATAGTTTGTGACGTTTCGCGTGTCTCGCATATCTCACGTAACCTATTGCAACCTCTGCCACTGGGTTATTTTCTTTTTGACATTACTATCTACAGTCTTTGCAAAATGCAGTTGCAGAGATAATGTCTCTCCCGCTGCTTGAATTACATCATGACTTCATCCACTACTATTCAGCAAGCTGCTGCTTAGACATTTTGGTTTTAGCTTTTTGTTCCCTTCAGAATTGTATAAGCTTGTTTCTGTCTTTGTCCCTGTTTGCGTTACTTCCTGACTTCTACTTGGCTTTTGGCTCACTGTGCTATTTGCCTGATACATTCTTTCATGAAATCATCAGTATGGCAGGTACTGACTTCTGCTGCAGTCAGTGAACTTTTTCTCAGTTGCTTTCCTGTATTTGAGATCTTCCATGCTATCCTCCAAGACTGGATTTTAAAAAAATGATCTTTTGTACATCTGAAAACCATACAAGCAGTCAGAGTATTTTTCATTGAAGTCCTTTTTGGAACACAAGTTTTTCACAGAATCTTCTATGGATATTCTGAACAAAATAGATATTTAAAATTATATTAAAAATGAATATTTTAAAGCAATTAAATTTAAATTAATAGAGTGAAAAAACAAACACATACTGTTCTTCACAGAAGAGCTATCCTCTGTGGTATCAACCACCTCTACTACTTCTTTCTTTGTTTTGCACCTTCTGTTTTAATAGCTTTTGTAGTTTTAATTTTAATTGGATAGCTGGCACCCCAGGAAGCAGGAGCTTGTCTTTCTATTCCTCTGTCAAGATCTGTGAACACATATGGTGCAACGTGTATCAGTAAGAATGACCATAAGTGCCTAGATAACAGAAGATCTAATTTTGTGCAGTTTTACTGCATATATACTTAAGTAGTGCTGTGCACTTGCTAGAGGGGAACAAAATAAAGAAAAAAAATCACATTTCTGTTTCTTTGTAAGTAGAATAAATTTTGATGTTATAACTTCAAAGGAGCAGAATGTTATTTTGGATTTTACTTTAAATCATTACCCAATTTTTGTAAAATGATACTATACTGAATCTTTCTTTAGTGAAATTTGAAGCAACTGGATTGTTAAGGTACTGTTTTGTGTTATGTGTTTAACTTACATCCAGGTGTTCTTCTCTCTGTCCTCTCTTCAAACTTCTCTTTCTCTTTTTTGGTCTATTTTTCTTCTATGCAAAGGCTCCTGTATTTCTGTAGCTCTAGTACAAGCTAGAAGAACTGTATCTTCCACCTGCTTATGAGGCAGAATGACAGGAGGTGTGAGGCTGTGGCTTCCTTACAGCCTGCTCTGAAAGTAGATCATAGCTGCAAAAGCAAACTCTAAATTACACTTCTTGCTGTGCTCCCTCTTGCTCTATGAATGAATGAGTATGGAAGGACAAATGGTTTTGGCTAATTTGCTGAAAATGTGTCCTGTCTCCTGATGATCAGCTGATAAGGGACTTTGGCCAATAAGTAGGAAGGGAAATCTTGAGATTTTTCTGTACTGTTTTCCACTTTTCACTTTTATTTTCACTTTCTGTATTTCACTTTCCACATTTGCACTTTTATTTGCCTTTTTAAAGAAAAAAGTGTTGATTGAGTAGTGCTGCCCATTCATAATGTGCACAGAGTAAGGAAGGATTTAAGGAGGACCTTTACCGGTTCCCGCTTCCCTGTATGGTCCAGAAAGGGATGGAACAATTCAGAGTCTTAAATACTGGTTTGTGCAACTTGAGTATGAATGATTTTCCAGAGGAATGTTTTCACTTTTCTAGAGCTATGCTGAGAAATGACATCTCCCATAAGTTATCTGCCATGACTGCTAAGTTAAGAATTGTTACTAAAGGAATGCAGACACAAAGATATCATGTAAAATTCAACATTTTCACTGCATTTTGTGGAAAAAGTATGCTCTACATGCACAAAATTCTAACATAGTTTTAATTTTGAAGTTGAAATCTCTAGAGAAATTAATTTATGATAAATTTAATTTTTCTAGTGGTGTCATTTGCTGCTCCTGTGGGAAATTAGCAAAGGTGCCCTGAGAGTGCTATTAGATAAGAAATTGTGGATCATATCCAGAATGCTTCAATAGTAGCAAAATGCCGGGAAATTTATTGTATTGCTACTTAGTTCTTTTGTTTCTAGGGGACTATTACAGCCTTTTTTACAGGGTATAATGGACATGAAACACAATCATCCTTTTAGGAAACTAGTCATTATTATTCCCTAGACATATGGTATTAGTTATGGACACAGACATGGAATATATATATCTCCCATGATATGTGTGGTCTGTTTAATCTGGTGTTCTGTCATTCTGCCAATGGTTCATTCGAGATGCTTCACAGGAAAGTGCAAATCCTCTATGTGGTAGACAATGCCCAGGAATGCTGCTACTTTCTTAGTCCTGTTAAATTTTCATTTTATCTTTTTGATAGTCTAAGAGTTCTTTACATTTTGTTAATGCTTTTGCATAGCTTCCCTATTTTTCTTGATAGAAATATCTAACAGCATTTCAGAAGTTTTGGAATAGTGAGTTTGTAAAGTTTTTGTTTGGCTTTTGGTGTGTATCCGTGCTCCCCCC